TTTTTTTTTTTTTTTTTTTTTTAAGGTTCAACTCATATATTTATTAATTTTAGAATAAAGATACAAAACGCGAGTTACAAAAATAAAGCTTTAGCTAACTAGTTACTAAATAGTTGTGAGGGGATAAGAATTAATTGCTCTACGAGACAATCTAAATCCCACTGCCGACCCATAAACAACTTTCACCTATCTACCTGATGGACTACTGGAAGATGTATCAACCTTGATAGCGTTTATAAACTAGTACACCTAACACCTACTGCACCTTTAATTAACTACACTACTACTAATAAATTAAAAATTCTATAAACATAATAACAAAGAGCTATGCTATTATGGTACACAACAATTATAGTAATCAATTATTTTTCCTCCATATCTAATGTAATTAACTAATCCTTCTGTATCATTATATTTTTTATCTATAGGAGGTTTTTTTGTTGTTATACATTTTTCTTTACCATATTGTTCTTTTAAAACATTTTTTGTAATTCCTAATGCGATATTAATTTCATGATAGACAGAACATCGTTCATTCCAAAAATCTCTAATTAAATTGAAAGAAATTTTCCAGAAATTATATAAAATTTCCTTTGTTTTTTTATAATTTTTTAATTTTCCATTAATAAATTTACATAAACTTAAAGGAATTATTCCTTTTATTATATCAATACTTGTAAAAAAATCTTCTCTAATTGAATTATCCCAAATATAAGGTAAATCTGGCAAATCAATATCTTCTACATATAATGCTTGATTTTCTATATGATCATTAATACTATCAATTAAAATTTGTTTTATCTGTTAAATTAATATAAAATTGTCTTCTGATCTTTGGTTACATGTCCAAACATGATTAAATTCTTCTTTTTCTATATTACATATTGGACAAAAAAGATCTTTAAAAATTGAAAAACATGATTTTTTAATATGTTCTATTGTAGGTATTTCTTCAATAAGAAATTGAATCTTTTTTCGCTTTAACTTAGATTCATAAAAATCTGTATGCATAGTACCTTGATCTCCTTGTAGTAGATAAAATGTAATTTCCCAATCTACTTGTAGTTTTCGATATTTATAATTTCGATTAAGATTTAAAAATTGTTCCAGATTAAAAATATTTGTATATATTTTTAAAAATTTTCTTAAACTTAATTCTATTGGTACACCATTCCATTTAGGAAAAAATTTAATTAATGATAATGACGTTGTTTTAATATTAATTCCTAAATGTTGTATGTAATTATATTTATCTTTCAAATGTTGATTAAATATCGAAAAATTAAGATCATTTTCCTGAACAAGTAAGATATTAAAATATAATGATAATGTTTTAATAATTTCAAAAATTATAATCCACATATAATTATGGTGTTTTAATTTAAAAATTTGTCGACTCGTTAATGAAAAAAAATTATTAATTCTATAATTATTATATGTTTCTATTAACGATTTATCTTTTGTAAGAATAGTTATTCTACTATTTTCTGGTAATATAATTATAGAACATAATAATGCTAAAATTAATGCTTTTGTTACTGATATATAATTATTATAACTTGAAAAAAATTCTAATATAAATGTCGAATTCAAATCAAATGTACTAAAACCAAAAATTGATTCAGCTATAATCTGTGCCTATGTTTTTTGCTGATCCATCTATATAAGTTAAAAATTGTTTAACATTTATTAATCTTTGAGAATATAATAAATCTGATTTATTTAAAGATAGATCTATATATTTATCAATTATATTAACATTTTGATTCTGAAAATTCATTATAAACCTTGAGTCCATAACTTGATAATATTGTGGATTTAAATTTAAATGTTGATTTATTTCCATTATCTGAAAAATATCTACGTATTGAGTTTTTGGTAGAACTAATGTTTTATTTTTTTCAAATTTATCTGTAAAATTTTTTGTTTTTTCTCCTACTAAAAACATATTAGATGTTTTAAGCTTTAATAAACATTTTTTTGATTCACGAGTATCATTTGCAAAATTACAACCAGAACAAGTTTGAACTTCCATATAAATACTTTGTTTATCACTTGTAACAATATAATGTCTAATAATGTATTCTTCTCCCTTTTTTTCTTCATCAAAAATTCTTCCTATTTGTAATCCATTATTCCAAAACATTATAAATTGTTTTTTCTTACATTCATTTGGCGAAATTAATTCGTAACCTTTTAAATTATTAATTACACATAGATAGAAAAACTCTTTCCGGAATTATTGTATACAATATTTCTCGGCAGAAAAATACCAAAGGGTATATTACAAAAAGATAGAAAATATTTTATTTTATTTTATTTCAATTTTATTACTGTTATCGCTGCTACTAACTACTAACTGTTTACACATCAGCATTAACGTTACTAACAACATGAACCATAGTAAATTTTCATTTATTTTTAAAGGTTCTTGCATTATTGATAAAATCTTCTCGGATGAAGATAAATATAAAGCTTTAGCGGAACTTGCAGGCCCACTCATTTTACATGATGAATATTTGCTTGCACAACGGCTTGGAAATATCAAAGTGCGTTGGCCTTTTGGATAAGAAGAATACAAACGTCTTTGACAAACGATGACCAGGAAGCCTTATACACGCGTTTATTATCAAAACAACAAGACTTACTGATTGGGAATCATGATTCTATATTATACAATGATAATCTTAAAACAAATTTACCCCCTGATTGTACACACAATCTAGCCAGTAATAAGGTAGTCACGATGTGTACACCTGATGGTTTCATGGATACACAAAGTTGTACTACATCACTTGCTAAGCCGCCTCAGTTAGTGCTCTGAAACGAGTCGAGTCGAGTCGAGTCAAGTTAAGCCGAATTAAACATAATTCCGGCCAAATTTATGGAATTTCCTTTTTTGGAAATTATGTTACACAAAATCCGAGACGAAAAATTTTTGAAAATTACAAAAATGGAATTTTGTGGAACGGCTATCGCCAAAAAAGGAAATGATCGGCATAGCGAATTAAAATCACGTGATTTAATTCGATTCGGTTTGACGGGCCAACTCGACTCGAATCGAGTCGAGTTTATATTTTTATAATTTTAACTCGACTTGACTTGACTCGATTTAACTTGAGTCGAATCGAGTTTACATATAACTCGACTCGACTCGACTCGTTCGGAGCTCTAGCCTCAGTCACGTGAAAATAGCAATTACGCAATACCAACGAACAATAAGAAGAGAAAAACTAAGACTAAAGGTTCACATTTTTCTGCTATGCCGGATGTGAATAAAGTTCAACAACTGCATAAGAATATTGTACAAAATGACTTTTGCAGGGAAAACCAGATTGAAATGGAGACTGAGTCATTAAAGAATTTTGAACATATCGATAACAACACTCCAATGGAGGATGTTTTTCTCCTTCCAGCCCTTGATAGTAATCCGCAACAATCTGAAATATTGGTAGATTTCTCACCAGATAGGAACGATAACACATCGTTGCCAATGCAACCATCCACAACAATGAATACGCGTCACAAATCGGATACTATATGGAGAGAATTATAGTTGCTCAATCAAGATGTCATAATGAACGAGGCTGACGATGATAGCGATAAAAATATCACCAACAATAATGTAAAAGGAACAGTTATGGATCTGTTTCCTCCCAATCCACTTCATCATTACAAGAATTCGAATCAGCTATTAAAGCGGCTCCAAACACCACTGACACAAACACTGATGATGCGATGGATCATAAATGGTATCCCCCATCAAAAATCAAAAAACCATCAAAAATTCTTTTAGACATTAAAAAACACCCATCATGCAACAATGTATCTATCCATGCATATACAGAAGAGAAAGTTGCCACGTATGATGCGTTTATTTCAATTAACGACATTGATCATTACAACACGGTCAAGGATAAGATCTCTTTTATAGAACTCAATGTACGAAATATGTCTGACTACGCTGGCATCGAGTACAATGCAAAGGATAAACAGATAATTATAAAAAACTACGTTCTTGGAGGAATGAGAAGAATGGTTCATATTTTCAACCATTACTTCAAGACTAGCAATTTCAAGATGATCGAAAAGAAGTACTACACGTTACATGGTCAACGAATCTCAAGCAGAGAATTCAAGATCCTAGAAGTCCCCAATAATACAGACAAGAATGCTATAGAAAGCAGCATTTGACGCCTGCTACATAGCTGCCCATTTTTTATAACAGATAAGAGTTATAAATATAGATCTGAGACCACAATGACTGTTTACTTTACGGTGAAGAATGAATATGCCAGACAATTATTGAAAAACGTCTGGTCCATTGATATAGAAAACTATATATATCGTCTTGGCCCCGTGCATTTTAAAACTAGTGATTTTGATGATAGAAAGAAACATATAGGAGAATTCATTGGCTTTAGCGATGAACATACAGCAGCAAAGGCGATGGAAATGACATCTCCATTCAATCCGAAGAGTACCTTCAAACAAAGCCTGGACAAGATAATCGTCAAATTCCAAAATGAGGCAGATCTCTTTAATGCTTGTGAGAAACGATACCACTTCAATGATTTTAGTGTTAAAGGTTACCCAATTGGTTATAATTGGCCACAAAGAGATCAAGCCATCAGCAAACTTAAAAAAGCACAAAACGTTAATATTCATCATCAGACATGTAATCAATCAACATCAGATGTTGCCAATGTGCACAACATTAACACGACCCGTTGCTTCAGTGACAACGATAAAACGAATAACGTGGCCAACAAACAACACAAGTTCATAGAATATCAGGGAAATAATTCGCAATGGAAAATATACAGGAGAGATACTAGCGCAAATAAATCTCGCAGAAACCAGAAAGAGTTTAGTCACTTACCATCGTGCGCTAATAGCTCTAATAGCATACCTCTTGGAGTCAATTCAAGGAGGAGATTAAATAACAACAAGAACAACTCAATTAGTACGAGTAAAACACCCTTCGACACATCAAGTACGCATAGTAATACACCCATCAATATCAATCGCCAAGGGGATTGGGATGAGGTGATGAGTCTCTGCTAATTGCAACCTCTTCACTTCTTATTCCTTTTCCGAAACAACTGTCGAAAGGAGCGAGGGGGGACAATAGCTGGGTCCCATTTATTCCCTCTCTAACTAAACACGGCTTAACTTATGACAACACGACTGACTCCACGCAAAATCAAAATGCTCAAAATTATAATGGAGCCATCGGAAGTGATGACCCTAATAACAATGATTTTACAAATTCACAATTCACAAACAATAACAATAATCCTAATTATAACGCAAATGAAAACTTAATGAGAGACATTAATGATTTTCTCACAAAAGAACGATGTAGATTCCAGGAAAACGACAGACAACAATCTCAGTTAATTTTCCCTAGCTTATCATTTGCCACACACAACATCAATGGTATTAAGACCAATGTAGATAAATTTCATCTTTTATTACAAGATTTACCGGATTACGATATCATTGGAATCAATGAAACGAACCTGGATAAAAGTGATGCGATCTCTTTGAATAATAAATTACCAGATGGCAGACTCATCTACTCAAAAGGAAACTCGAATAAAATCAGTGGAAAAGGAGTTGCAATATATATGAAACATAAATGGAAAAAACATATAGGTAGCATTGATAGCCCTACTGATAATATTTTATCTGTTACTTTAGTTTTCAAACAATGCAGAATAATTATTACTCAAATCTATATGCCACCTAATGACACAACCGCACGATCAGAAGTCAACAATTATTTAAAGACATTAGTCAATGTATATCAAAATACAAATGATAACACAACTTATCTGATCATTGCAGGTGATTTTAATGCCATCGTCGATAAATATATGGACAAGCTTCATGTAACAAAAAATTGGTCAGCCAACACCAAAATTTTAGATTTTTTGAATAATAATGGTTTTATCGATACATTTAGAGAAGCTAACCCTGATCTCAGAAAATTCACGTGGTCTAACAATGTGAACGTGACTCGTATAGATTATATATGGCTGAGTCCTAACTGGTGTAATGAATTACTACACAGCACGATCATAGATGCACAAATGTGCACTTCTAGTGACCACAACATAGTGACTTGCATTGTTAACACGTCGGATATTATTAGAAATCACAAAAAATCAACCTGTGCAAGAAAGAATAATGAAAGAATAATTTTCGACTACGCAGATATGAATAAGGAAAAATGGGACAAATACAAATTGAATACGCACGATTGTTTTAAAGATCCTGAACTCTGGAAAATCCTCGATCAGCCCCAGCATGATATACAGGATCTTAATAGGATTTGGTCGATTATTAAAGAACACATGCTCAAATGTGCAACTAGCTCTATACCGAACAAAAAAATTCGTATGGGCGCAAATATGTCAAAGAAAAAAGCAGATTTACTAATCCCAAAACACTTGTACGTGCAGTTAAGATGACTTCGTTTAATGTATTCAACATGCAAGAGATTAATGGGTAAAACAATACCACTAAATACGAAAAAAAGGTTTATTACATACATTAACCACATCAATCAGCAATGCAACAATGTTAAATTACATGCCCCTGATGCAGTCTGGAACGCAGTCTGGGCAAACCATGTTAAAGATGCTTGAACAGTAACTATGAACATTATCAAACAACATCGAACATCTGCGCAGAACAAGTTGATTGAGGATTTTATTAACAAAAGAGCTTCCATGATACAAAATAACCAAACCAAGATGCTTAACAGTTTATTAAATAGACATAAAGACAAGATTGTCGTGGACAGACTGATTCAAGACAACACAACAGACAACTCGATCAAGTTGATCACTGAACCTGAGGAAATTTTAGAAAAATGCATTAAACACTACCCGGACCTACAAAAAAAGAGACTACACAAATTTGATACAATCTCAGAAGAGTGGAGTGACATATATGAGCTGATTGGATCTATTAACGATGATATTTATAAAGATATAATGGAACAACCTACAGTCGATGAATGGTTTGCTACCTTAAAGGAATGTAATGACTCATCAGCACCAGGTTTATCAAATATAGGGTACAAACTTATTAAAAAAGCTGGCGACAAGGCACAAGACTGTTTTAGACGTTTAGCTGAGATTACATACCAAAATGCCATTTTTCCAGAGGAATGGACAACATCACAAATTTTTCCAATCCCGAAACTGAAGGAATGGAAATATTGGCTCAATAACACGCGCCCCATTTTATTAATAGAATGTTTAAGGAAACTTACAGTTAAAATTATCACAAAAAGACTGAGTGCGTGCTTGCTACAACACGACGTCCTCAAAGGACCAAATTTCGCAGGCCTCTCAGGAGGTTCCACAAACACTCCAATTCATGTGATCAATAACATTATTGAAGACGTACACGCTTCAAAGAAAGAATTGTGGATTTGCCTACATGGATATGGCGAAGGCTTTCAATTCTGTTGGAATGATCCCGTTAGAAATGGTGCTAAAAAGGATTAAGTGTCCACAACCCCTAGTGGATTTCATTATTAATTTATTCAAAAACAGAAAACTTCGAATAATCACGGCATATGGACTTTCGAATGTTTTCCAGGCAGGGGACGGCATAGATCAGGGAGAAACAATTTCACCACTCATTTGGCGCATTTTCTATGATCCTCTCCTTACACGGATACATCAAGACAAGAACCTTGGTTATAAACTCAATACGAATTGGCCTACCATAGATTTTCACAATGTTATTGCATCTGAAACTACACTTAAGGCTTCTTGTATAGCATATGCAGACGATACTGCATGGATTGCTTCTAATAAAGATGAGATAACGAAGATCATCAGCATATCGAACTCGTTCTTCGAACTTAATGATATTACGATCAACAGAGAAAAGTCTGAACTCCTGGTTTGGAACACACCCAAAGGCACTACAAATGAAATTAATATGGGAACCGAATTGACATTGATAAAAGCCAACCCTCCCTTAAAAGACGCTAGATATCTGGGCATTTATATCAGAAGTAGAGCAGGCCAGAGTCATGTAATTAAAAGAGCGCAACAAGAAATTACTTCAATAACTAACGCACTTAGATACAAGAAGGTCACAGCAAGCCAAATAGCATATGTCAATAATGTAGTTTTAATGGCAAGACTCGAATACAGACTGAAAACTACTTTGGTCAGTGAAAATCAATGCCAAACAATTCATAATCGTATGATTACTCTACTTAAGACAAAAATGAGAATCATAAGGTCCACGAATAATAATATTTTCATGCACCAAAATATTGTTGGATTGGTGCCATTATCTCAGCATTTACATACAGCACAATATTCAGAATTTATTATTAGAATTAATTCACAAGATTGGGATGGAATAAGCACGAGAATCATGCTCAGGAATGCACAGCTTCGCATAGGAGTACAAGGATGCATATTGGTTGACCACACAGAGCTGATTCTAAAAATCAATTTACAAAATAACTTTAACTTTAATTTATTGAAATCATTTAAGGATCAAATGTTTAGCTTCAGGCCAACAGATCTTACCGCATGGAATTTAACCACGCAACATCAACACACTATTATTTCAATCTTGCATACATCTGTTGATGTGGGGCATACGAATTTCAGGAAACTAGAACAATCAAGGATAAAGGCCATTGAATCTTTTATCAAACGACCTGCGGAATTACTCGATATTAACTTTCTAGATCACATTACACACAACAATGGTGTAGATATGTTATTCTGGACTCAGATCAAAAAGATTTTTGGTAAAAATCCCAAAGGGCCAATCCCAAATTTTTTTAAATACTTGGAAGAAATAGCTATCAATCAGAATTCGAACGGACAACGTACATTAATAGAACAGTACCAAGCTACGAATATCCCGACTAATAAGATAGTTTCACTTACACCTTCTCCTCCTTCAAGAGACGGAAGGCGTAAAGAATGGATCATTACACGCGATAGAGATGAGTACCAATTCGGAAAAATTTTAAAGAAAAATCTCACACGATTCTCATATCAACATTGGATCAGACAAGACAACAATAATTTGATTACCCAATGCGCTGGATGCTCAACCAACTCGACTCATATAGAGGATGATCCTGTGTGCGTAAAGAAGGAAAAATATCACAAATCAACAATTATTGACGTAAAACGTTCAACTAATAATTACCAGGACACTTCTACTTTTGAAATTTTGACACCTGTTGATTTGATCAGGACGAGAATAATTACAAAACCTTCGTTGTACGAGAATGAATCCCTTTTGTATCACTGGATATCCTGAGTTATGACCTAGACATTATTAAAAGAACTATCTCATCAACATTACTAATCACAGAGCTCTCAGATATCCTCGGATGCCTCGAACAAATTGACAATCAAGAGTTTCACTTTTTTACCGATGGTTCAATGGATTTGAATTGTATAAACAATGAAGATGTCATTGTAATGGGAGCAGGCTGGATTTTAAAAAATACAGATATTAGCTTCTCATGTGGAATAAGATTCCACCCCTCATCAACCAAACCTGAATTGCTTGCCATACTGACAGCTTTACTAGTAACCCCAAGTGAATCACGAATAAACATTCATACGGATAGTCAGGCAGCGATCGATGGTATCAACACAATTAACAATATGGTATCGAGACATGGCTGCAAATTTCTTAAACTTAATAATTATATCATTCTTTTTGCCATTTATGATATTATCACGTCTAAGAGATTGGACATTGAAATACATAAGGTCAAAGGTCATTCAGGTTGTCATTGGAACGATATGGCTGACGCGATAGCAAAAATAGGTAGAGAAACGGTGGTTGTCAATTCTAATAGATTAGTTGACTTACAATTTATATGCAGTTATAGTTTTCCTTTATTATTTCTGCCAGTTTGGCATAGTATAGAGATAGATAGACGTGTTCGACAATTTTGTAGAATAGTTTCAGAATCATTGGAAGAGGTCACATGGTTTTTGAATAGTAATTGAAAGGATTACTTCGATAACCAAACACATGATATATCAATAGAATGGAATTGGACCGCACGCTGGCACTATCTTAATAACATTAACAAGAGCCGTTGTGATAATCTTGATACTAACAATACCCTAATTAATTTCATAAAGTCTTCAAATAACTTATTACCTACAGTTGACAATCTCAGAAAACGTAATGACATTTATGATGATGTACCGTACCCAGCTTGCCGTGATCATGAAGAGACTTTGAACCATTTAGTAATATGTGCTGGATTGGAACAAGCGTTCCTCACTGCTGAAAAAGAAACGATAGATAAGATTCGGAAATATCTCAAACGTTTCAAGTGCAAAAAATCTGTCACAATCAATGAACTCTACATCAGCATAATTGAATATAGAGACCCAGCTTTCCCTGAACTGAAACAAAGGAACAGACAGGAATTACTACGTGGTTTAATTTCACACACAATTGTAAAGAAGCTTAGAAAACTCACATCAAAAAGAATTGCTTCACGCCTGTCTCTAAAGATCATTAAATACTTTTATGAAGCTTTTAGAGAATATGTTTGGAAATCGCGATGTAAAATGATGAATGAACTAGAAGAATCATTGCATATTACACCTCAAGACAAGTGTAAGACCTCAAGGACACATAAGGAGGACGTAGAAACTCAACGCGATCACTATCGACATACTCTAACTGCATTTCGTGAACAAAAGGTATCAAAATATAATGAAAGCTTGCGTCAATGCAAAGATCATCTATACCGTTTGGTAACAACTGGTTTATTGCCTCCCTGGAAGTCTAGAAAAATTTCCATTCAACATAAAAATAATAATAATAATAATAATAATAATAAAAATTATGATAAAGTTGCAGCGTAGTGGGTCCCATGATCACCAGACATTGAAGATAGGGCCTTTATGGCTAAGATGACCCGTTACTAAACGAAGTCTACCTACGGAGTCAAACGATCACTAGACAATGCACACGTGGGGTACTACCGGTATGACGAGTGGTTTGTAGTTTAATTATATTAGAGTAGTTATTAGGAAATTTTACTTTGTATATATCTTTTTATTTTTTTACTTTAATAAAACTGCAAATGCGCTGCGGAAAAAAAAAAAATAAATAAATAATAAATATATTTGTTCAAAGCCACTGAAATTTTCAAGAAACCTTTTTGATACTCTAACTGCCACATCACCCAGAAAAATAATTTTTTTTTGTAATTAATACTATAGCAAAGAGACACGCATGATGTTTCTATGTCGTTTGTCACATGATTGCCGATCAATGTTGCATCCTAACAAAGTTACAAAGTGTCACTATTAATATTAAAAAAGTCAAATTTTTGTTTTTCATGTAAATCACATGTACTACGAAGAATTCTGGTCTGGGTCCGGGCCTGGGTAAATGCATGACCTCTATTTTAAATATCTTTTTCGTATATTACAATAGTAATGGTTGCACCAGTTACTTAGATGTTGCATGAATGGTATCTCACAAAACCCATTTAAATACTTTTTTTTTCTTGAAAACCTTTTGTTGTACTCTTATTTTTCAATATTCTCCCTTCAACCATGGCCGATAGTNGAATTTTTTCAGTAGGAAAAACCTTATTTGTCACATATTATATGTCACGTCTACTAATTTCAGCCAAATTTTATAATTCCAGCCAAAAATTACCATAATTTCCAATTTTGGAAATTAGAGTAACGTTACACAACCCAAAAAAGGCAATTTTGTTTCTCCGTAAAAATGAAAATTCGTTACACAAATTTCCAAAATAGGAAATTTTTATGCAGATCACCGAAAATGATAATAATCACGTGACCCGTGTTCACACACGTAGTGTACAAATAGAAATAGTCTATTAAAAAAATATTATTTATAATAAAATTATTTTTAAATTTTGGTAAAAATACATTAATCTCTTTTTTTTGATATGGCATGTCTACTAAAGGACTTTTATCTAACCATAACTTATTTTGAATATCTATTATTCTAATTCTCATAATATCACCTAATAAACCTCTGTCATTTATTTGTATAAAGAAATTATTTATCTTTGCTTGAATCTGATTGGCCCAGATAGAGTGTATATTATATATTAGATTATTCTCTACTATTGAATTAGGCGCTGTTGATGCAAATTTAAGTTTATTTTTAAACATTCTTCTATATGGTACCATCATTTGATTACATTCTTTTTCTGTAAAAATCATTACTTGAGATCTATACTCTATTCTAGAAAGTATTATTGAGTTAAAAATGTAAGCCGTTTGTTTATCTGTAATAACTTTCCTTTTTAAAGTATTTGTAATTAAATTAAGAATATCATTTTTGCATTGATTTAATACAAATTTTCTATCATCATAAGCATTGAACCATACTCCTAAAATCCTAATTGAGTTTTCTTTTGGAACTGGAAATATACTAATTTTTTTATCTCCAAAATTAATATTAATTTTTTCTTTTTTTACAAAATCATAATTCTTTGATCGTAAAAGTAATTCACTTTTATCCTTATTAATCTGTATATCATTTAATGTATAAAATTCATCTGCAATAGATAAAAGTAATTCCAATTCATGTTTGTTTCCTGATATTATATTAGTATCATCCATGTAGGCTAAATTAGAAATATATAGCTTATGTTCCTTTTCGATATTCTCATAAATATTTACAATCTTTTTTGTTGATAATTTGTATCACAAGTGATGTTTATTTAATTCGCATAGAAGAGGGTAATAGTATATACACCACAAAAGAGGAGAAATTACTTCCCCTTGATCAATTCCTACAAGAACATCATATTCAGGGGTTAATCCTCCAGCTGTGAATACTTGATTTTTCCTATTTGTAAATAGACTTAATATTAATTCAATAAAATTTAATGGAATTTTTAATCTTAGTAGAGCTTTCCTTAACATATTTATATTAACTTTATCATACGCTTTTGACATGTCTAATGCCAATAACCAAAGTTCTTTGCTATTTTCATTAGCATCATTAATTAATTCTTTAATAATTCTTATTGGTTCAAATGTTGAACTTAAAGGAAGGCCTGCAAATTGATTACCCTTTAAAATATTGTATTTCTTCAAAATTTTTGATAATCTTTGATTTAATATTGCTACCATGAGTTTTCGTACTGTTTCAAGCAAAGTTATTGGTCTGGTATTAACTAAATCACATCCCCACAGTTTCGGCTTTGGTATGGGATATACATTAGCTAATCTCCAATCTTTAGGTATTTGTCCATGTTTAAAGATTCCTGATATCATTTCTTTAATTAAATTCAAATATTCTGGTGATGCATGTTTAATCATTTCATAAGTAATGGTTGATGGACCAGACGCTTTATTATTAGGTAAATTATGTATAAAAAATTGCCATTCTTCATCAGTGATCGGTTCTAATATATTTTTATATATTTCTGGATTTATTTCATCTATAGGTTGATATTGATATTTCCAATTTTCTGGAATTTCTTTTTCTCTGTTAACACTTCCAGCCACAGTTTGAAAATGATTATTAACTATTTCTTTAATTTTATCTATATCTGTAACTAAAATTTTTTTTCCATTATTATTTGTTGTTAATACTTTATCTATAACTATAGCTTTAAATTCTCGTTCAATAATACTATCAATCATCTTCTTTTGATTATCTTTATAATCTCTACAACGTTGGTCAACTGCCTCTAAAATTTTATCTTCTTTATATTTTGTTATCTCTATATTATATTGTGTATAATATAGAATTTCTAAATTATTTAATGCATTAAAAATCTTTTGTATATTATCAGCAGATACACGAATATTCCAATCAAAATTAATTTTATCATAGAAATATTTTGTTAATTTTTCTTTGTATTTTGTCCAACTTTTTTTAATTTTAACTATATTGGATGGTTTCTTTAATAGACTTTTTAAATTTTTAATAAATTTTAAAAATTTATACGCTGAAGACTGTCTTAAAGGATTACTTCTTTGCTTGTTGTTTTTGATTTTTTCTACAGGAATATTTCTTTCACTTGTTTGTAAAAATCCTTGTTTAATTATATTCCAGATTGTTTCTAGATTATTTTGATTTGAAATTTCTTCTTTTGATAAATTATATTTTTCTATATATTCATTAAGATCTTGTTGATATTGTATCCATTTTTCATTATCCATTTTATCATATTGATAGATTATTCTATTAATATCTATTTTTTTCTTTAGTTTTGATAAAGAAATACGTCCAACCAATTCATCTGTCCACATAGAAAAGGTTAACATTTTATGATCAGTATTAATTCCAAATTCACTTGTAAGTTTAATAATTGTAGTATCTTGTTGTTGCATAAATAAACGTTCTGTAACCCAAATATAATCTAAACGTCTTGCCCTATGTTTTTTATTTTTCAGTATAAAGGTTGAAATGCGATTATTAGGAGAAATATTATATATTAATTTAACTGGATCATATAAATTATATTTATTTTCTAATTTGTCAAATATCATATCTTTGTAATTGATACTTTTACCCATATATAAATTTTGTTTATAGTCTTCGTAATCACAATTAAAATCTCCCATAACCAAAATTTCTAATTGGTTAGCTCTTCCTTCTTTAATAATTTCTATTAACTTTGTTGTATATTTCTTATCTTCTTTTTTACATTTGGCAGTTAATTCAGTAGTTATACCATAATATTGTATAATATGTATTTTATTATTTCCCTTAAATGCTAAGTCTATAAAAATTATTCTTCCTTCAAAAGAGCCAGAATTATATACAAATTTTGAATAATTATTTTTTACAATTATTCCTACTCCAATACTTCTTGATTTTTCTATATTATTATGATAAAACATATAATTTTGTTCATCTTTATATATATATTTTGCAGATTTATTTGATATCCATGTTTCTGCTATTCCCATAATATTTATATTTTTTTCTTTCATAATGTCTGTTATCATTATTTGTTTTATTCCTGTTAATCCACTTATATTTAAAGTAGCTATTGTTAATATATCTGTTATAGAATGATGTTTTTTGAATACTTTTTTAATAATAATATTATTATTTTTCCTATTTAAATTTTTTATATTATTTTTTTCTTTTTTGTGAAGGGGTTAAAAATATTTGAATGATTATAATAATTATTATTTGGTTGTACTATCATAATTAATGATTATTGGAGGTATTATTATTGAAGTCATTATCGCCCCCATCGATAATTGCTTCTTGTTAATTTGAGTTAGAATCTAAAAAAGTGACTTGTTTGGTTAAATTTTTTTTTTTTTTTTTTTTTTTTT